TCGACAATGCGTGTTAGGCGCTGACTTATCCCTACTTAGGCTTCAAGATAAAAGTCCATAGACTCGGATTCTGGTGTCTTCTTCAATCGGTAAAAGACTAAACTGGTGACGCGTGTTAGGCGTTAACTTATCCCTACTTAGGATTCGGGATAAAATTCCCCATATGTGTGAGGTACGGATTATGGTGTTATTAATAACAACATGCTACAATATCCAATATGTGGGCTTTTGTCCTTTTTACGGTTAAGGACTAACTGGTAACGCGTGTTAGGCGCTGACTTATTCCTACTTAGGATTCAGGATAAAATTCTCCAGACTTGGATTCTGAGGGTTTTTTCACTCAGAGAAAGACTAAACTGGCTATGCGTGTTAGGCGTAGGCTTATCTCTATTTAGGAGTCGAGATAAAATTTCCCATGTATATGAAGCATGGATTTTGGAGTTGAAGGATGGTGTCTTCTCTTTTGGGGCAAAGACGAACCCGATACTAGAAAGGAAGAATTGTATATTCTATCTCCTGTTATAAAGAAAACTCAAAGTGGGATTTCCACTTTAAGAATTTGGGAAGGTGAAACTAAGAGTGGGATCTCCACTCTAAAAATCGAAAAGATTCGGATAATCCTAACTGTCAGAAGGTTTGATTACCGAACTAAAGATAAATTTCTCATTTATCGAGAATGAATTATGGTTTTGGTCCTAACTATAGGAAAGTTTGACCAAGTGGGAGTTTGAGGTGACCCTAACTGTAGGAATGTTTGATCATTCGATTTGAAAGTAGACCTCTCGTTCATGGAAGAAATCGAGAGGGGATTTTGGTTTTGTGGTCCTAACTGTAGGAAGGTTTGACCGAGTGGGAAGTTTAAGATGATCCTAACTGTATGACGGTTTGATCGCTCGATTTCCCAAAATAGGGGCTTTGTTTGTATTGATAAGAATAGCTTATTACAAACTAATGAATCGAAATTACAATAGAAACGGAGGGAATGCCCTCTTTGTTTAATGTGGGGTATTTGGTAGCGATAGGATGCCTCCCTCGATTCTCGCACCGAGTTTGCTTCCCTTGGATGATCCGACCGAAGTTGCGAGCAAGCTTCAGTACGCAGTAGAAGCTTGTGCTGATCGAGTTTGACTATACTCAAGGCCAAACGGGGGGCTTGTGCTTGTCGACTGACTTCTTGGAGAGAGCTACCATGCAAGAGCTTACAAAGAGCCTAAGAGCCTCAAGTCTGAGAGTTCAGATGAGTCTGCAAAGAGCTATTATGCAAGAGTCTACGAAGAGCTTGAGAGTCTCAAGTCTGAGAGTTCAGACGAGTCTCTTCAAATGAGGGAGCCTTTAGAAAATGAGCCAAGATTCAACCTTTGGAAGATTAGCCAGCCAAGCCAGCAGCAGCTAATCAACCTCTTTCACATTGGCTAAAAGTTGCTTTAAATAGGCAAGGGATGGCATGGATCATCCCTTGATTTGTGGGATTTGACCAATAGTAGGGGTGAGGGAGCCAGCTGCCTTAGCTGTAGGATGTGACCACTTAGGGGGTCATATCAGCCGCCCTATTCTTGCTAGGTGAGGAGCGTCATGCTTTCTCCCTTGATTCGTGGGATTTGACCACTGTTGTGACTGTTCCCATACTTCAAGTGGGTAGCTGACAATGATGGTGAGTTTCTAGCTGTTAGGCGAGCTTAGTCCTCGCAGGCGAGGTGTAGGCTGTCAAGCGAGCTTAGTCTTCAGGCGAGCTCGAACCTTCATTCTGGCGAGTCGACCAAACAAGCGAGCTTCGAGTTGTCAAGCGAGCTAGGCCTTCAGGCGAGCTTGGTTCAATGTGCAGGCGAGCTGTGTAGGTGAGGCTGTGCAGGCGAATCTCATTCAGGCGAGCTTTAATACTATTAGGCAAGATCTATCCTTGCAGACAGACTTCCTTGCAGGCGAGCTTCAGCCTTTACAGGCGAGCTTCAGCCTTTAGGCGAGCTACTGAACATGCTTCGAAGAATAGGCCATAACTTTCAAACCATAAGTCGGAATCAGACGAATTATATATGAAAATCGACTATCTCGACGAGACGGAGTCGACCAAACTAACCCTATAGGGTTCGATTTGCTCCTGTCCATTTCGCTAAATTCCTTCTGGTTTGAGAGATATCAGCGTTTTTTCCCTTTTTCTATTTCGGTCGAGGTTTTAGGAGTTTTGTTCTGAACTTCTCGGATAGGGATTAAAGATAATTTTTATTACCTACAAAACCCCCTCTAAAGTTTTTAGACCTGAATCATACCGCATGGGGTCTGGAACACTTTGGATATATAGACCTGTAAAGTGATCTCTGCTCAGATGGAGTGAAGAGCCTTTCAACGAGCTCGGTAAAGTTGATCTCTTCACTCGTAGCTGATGATTGCCTTCTAGGATTTGTCTTCTCTTGGGACAAAGACGAATCCAAAATAGCAGCACATCGCATGGTAGGCCACTATTTGGATAAAGGCACATCACTTGGTAGGTCATTATCAAACAACCATGCCTTTTGCGGGAAAGATAGTGTTGGGGGAATCAAATCGTTCAGGGACGTATAAGTGTGACGATTGATTATTATAGGAGTCATCGCATGGTAGGCTACTACCCATCGATTGTTCTAAGGATATTAGAACGCTCGGAAAGGATCATGTCATTCAGGGACGTATGAGTATGATGACTGATCGAACAACGTTATTTGCAGGAATGACGGTATCGGCTATCAGAGGTAATCATTAACCTGATAGGAATTGTCGCGATCGGAGTGACTTTATAGACCTACCGCTCCATTGAAGAGAGTCGGTAAGTAGATTCTAGTCAGAGGTGTGATGTTAACATGACAGAGATTGTCGTGATCGGAATGACTTTGAGGACCTACCATCCTATTGAAGAGGATTGGTAAGTAAATATTGTCAGAGGTGTAGTGTTAACATGACAGTGGGAGTTCGTTACGATTTGAGCAACTCTATGGACTTACCATCCTATTGAAGAGAACTGATAAATTGATTTGTTAGATGTGACTGTTAACGTGATAGTAGGAGTGGTCCCATCATCTTATTGAAAAGGATCGATGTGGAAAATTTGGAGGAGACTATTAGAGGTAATGATTAACTTGATAGTCTTATCAAATCCATCATCTAGTTGAATGAAACTGATGGAGAAATGGCTATCAGAGGTGACAGTTAACTTGATAGTTTTGGGGACCCACTACCTCATTAGAAAGGTTGGCGAGGGAACTTGACTTTGGTCCTAACGGTAGGAAGTTTGACCAAGTGGGAGATTGAGACGATCTTAACTGTTCAAAGTTTTAGTCGCCCATTTTGAAAGTGTGCCTCTCTTTCTTTAGAAGGAATCGAGAGGAAATTTTGGCTCTGGTCCTAACTGTAGGAAGGTTTGACCGAGTGGGAGATGTAAGGAGCAGTTTAACCTCATGCTCCAGTGGGAGAGTGGCAAGCCGTTCATTGACTCAGGAATGAGTATAACGACGGTGATTGGAATAGTGACACTTCGTATGGTAGGTCAGCATTTCTGATCGGGGTGTTCATCGCATGGTAGAACAAAACTTGACTATCAAAGGTGATGATAGTTCATGTGGGCCCATTGTCCTGACGAAGAGGATCAATGGGGGGATTTGGAGGAGATTTGGGGTAGAGAAACTAAGACCACCCCCACTCCGGCGAGAATCTGGGTTGAAGGGTAAAGATGCCTTAGTTGACCTCATAAGAGTTGAAGGTTGAAATCCTCTGCTGACATATTGCCCACTCGAGTAGACCGTCACTACTACAAATAAGTATGAAGTTGCCGTCGGATGCAGGTCTTCTGGCTATTGACGTATTTAAGCATCATCGATCATCTTCGGCCAGCAATAGCTAAGTCTTTACAGTCGGTCCCATAATTTGGGTCTGAGTTGGCGAACTCAGCAAATGCCATCGAGGGCTTCTTGTGCTCCGAAGCATTGCTCAAGATGTCTTGGTCATCACCTCCTTGAAATTCATATGGCCCTTCAGCATCCATGCGCTTGAGCATGCTCTCGACTTGTTCTCTTTGGCGGATTAAGTCTTTCCATGAGCGAGCTATGACTGCGCCCATATTAGAAAGGATGTCAATGGGGAGATTGTTCCGGCACATCTCCATGAGAGTGGCCTCATAAACCTGATCACGTGTATGCAGCGGATTGGTTCCTGAACCTCTTGATAAAAGCTGCTTACAGACTCTGTCTTCTTTTGCTTTGTAGCTAGAAGGGTGGCCACAGATACTTCTTTATCATCGTCAAAGGATCTGGCCATGAAGAGCATTTCCATGTCCTTCCAGCTAGTGATGGATTCAGGTTCTAATTTGCGGAACCATTCAAAAGCGATCCCCTTGAGAGTGCCAATGAACAATCGAGTCATAATGGGACCATTCTCTACTATATGTCCGATTTGCGTCTGGAAGTAGTAGATATGTTGGGTAGGAGAACCATTGCCATCGAACTGCAGGAGGTCCAGTGGCTGAAACTTCGTCGGATATGAGACTGTATCCCATTCGATTGGATACGGTCTGACAACCCCCAGCTTGTCCATATGCTTCTGGAGCTTCAAGGCGTCGAGTTGACTTTGGAATTCGTTGAGCCTTTTGTCCCTTGGATTATGATCCAAAGATGACGTTCCTCCAGATGATTCGGATGAGGAGCGAGAAGGAGTAGGCACCCGCTTTTTGTGCTTCGAGGATTTCTATGAAGGTCCTCTCTCTCTTCTTCTTCTTCTTGCTCAGAAGCTGCTCCAACATCTCCTTCAGGGAGTTGATAGTTGCTTGTTGCTCGTTGAGTCTCCTGAATATCTCATCAGGGATATCGGTCATATGCACATTTGTGTGCTCACCCTTAACTGAGCTTGAAGCCTGTGACGTTGCCACTACCGAGCAATCATCATCGTCGTCATCATATACGGGTGTTAGATGCGTGTAGTCAAACGAAATGGCTACCCCTATTTGGGCGTGAGTGCGTTGGTGGATACCTTCACGCTCAATGGCCTTGGATTTCCTCGTCACATTGATAGTTGCGGTGGGGAGCTCTAAACCATCGAAAGTTCGTCTCCTCTTACGATTGCATATTTGGTGGAGAGGTCTCGTCTCCGATAATATGTTTTGAGATTGTCGAAATGCACGTGCCTGACCATGCGCTCCGACAATTTGGATTAAAAAACATATTCCAGATCCTGTAGAAAGAATAGAGTGAAATCCCCGAAAAGGAGCACATTATCAAAATTGGGAGATAATTCGTCATGTTTACATTGGGAATGAGAATTGAGGGAGGAAGCTGTAGTACTGGAGAGGGTTGACACACCAGAACTAGATGTGTACTTACGGTGGTATTGGGGGATTACTTGCCGATGGATATGTCGGAAGAACAAATCACCTAAGGAGTACATACCAAGAGGTCCGATTAAGAGAGAGTTGGTAAGTGTATAGAATAAATATACAATTATTTTGTGATTATTATTTTATTATCATCCACTTGCTAATAATCCTCTTTTGCTTTTTTATCTTATAGGTACAAGAACTCGACGAGGTTACTTCTATTGCACATGATGCATTGAGATCGACTACTGAGCCAGGGGCGAGGAACACATTTGTTCGCATCATAGGAAAGATTCAGTCTGCTCTTAGAAGGATACGTCATGCGAATTGTAATGGGCGTAAGGAACGACTCATAGGGTACGGGCGTCGATGGGTTTGAGGACACACGAGAGCGGACTCAAGTCATGCACATGATGAAGTTGGAGGCTCACGGCAAGCTCAATCCGTATGTTCACAACAGGTTCAAGTCGTCGATGATGTCATGCGCTCACAAGTTCACACACAACCAGACGTTTAGATCATCCAAGCTCATGTTGTGTTTGAAATTGATTATGGATTGATAAATGTGTAGCAAGAGAGTTGGTGTTAAACTTGACAATTTTAATCGAGGATTGATATATGTTAGCAGGAGATGAGATTTTCCAGCAAGTGTGGACCAGAGAGTATGTAAAATGATCGGGGTTGGGAGCCCCGATCATTCGTGCACGCTGTGCACGACACGTCGGGAGTCCCAACCCCGACCATTTTTTGTGTGGGGCGATTCAGGCTCTGCAAATGGTCGGGGTTGAGAACCTTGACTAAATTAGCGGGGTTGCGAACCCCGAGTTGTTTAGTGGCATAACCACCGATGGCGAGCGAGGGTCGACTACTTAGGAACCATATTTTTTTTAAATTGACCCAGTTTCTGGCCACAATGCTGACGTGGCCAGAAACTGAGTCGATTTCTGGAAATAACTTGGGAGTGGATCGAATTTTAAAAAAAAAATGTTTGGGGCTATTTTAAAAATTTCTTTAAAAAATTATAAAAAACCCCTTAAAAGAGAACAACAAAAAAGCTTTGTTACATAGATCTAAAATATGTGATCAAAAGAAAAGATATATGAGATGTCTCCTCCTATTATATAATGAATTGATCATTATTAATGGGCTGGGCTCATTATGCACTGGGAGCTGGACATGTCAAAATGACGGGATAACCTCACCAGTCCCATGTTACACGGCAAAATTCCCCGTAGAACAAAACAAGGCAAGAATCTTCATTCTTCACCCATTCAGAAATCAAGAATCTCTCACTTCTTCATCCAAAAATTCCATGGCTTCCTCTTCTTCAGAGAAAAAACACCCTTCTCCTTCATTCCACTCCCCCGGCGGTCACTTTGTGCAATCTCTCGCCGCCAACATNCTTCTCCCATCTCCCCTTCTCTCCTCCGCGTGCCACTTCATCTCCTCCTCCGCCGCCACAGCCGGCGGTGACCGTACCCTTCTTCCTCCCTCTCCCTTCTCCTTCTACTTCCTTCTATAATAACAGAGAGGAGCCCTCTGCCTCGGCCTCGGCAGCGTCGTCGCCGGCGATTAGGAGCTTGGCGACGAGCGTGAGGATGGAGGGGTTGAGCTCCAGGTCCAAGGGCGGCGGCGGCGTCGAGCCGGCGTTTGTAGGGCAGGTGTTCAGCATGCTGGATCCCTCGGGAAATGGGCTCATGACGGTTACCTCCCATTTTGAGATCCCTTTTCTCTCAAAAAGGTAATGAAACTGTAACTCTTTGCGTCTGGATAGTAGTAGTTAGAGCCCCATATTGTTCCATCTACTTCAAATTTCAGTATACATGTTTGGTTTGATGTTGTTAAGATACCGATATTAGTTGCGGAAACTAAATAGGCTAAAAATAGAGGAGTTGTAGTGGCTCAAAAGTTGGAAGGAACTCTACATCATGTTTAATGCATTCGTTGTTCCAACTACTGCTGACTGAAGGTTATAGATATCTGTTGGGAAAATTTTGGTTTTGATTTCTTTTACAGAGGAACGGCCTCGTTGCTTTTGGGTGTTGGTGATGTAATTGTGTTGTCTGTCGTGTTTTCAGTAAAATTTCTTAGTGGCTTGTTTCTGAATTAATTGTGTTTGGGTTATTTGTTGCATAGGGTTTCTAGAGTTTTTTGTTTTATCATTGCACAGCAAAGGATGAATAGGTTGTTGGAGCGTTGTGCTTGCCTGTGAATGTCGGAAGGAATAGTTATCTTGGAGCCTTGGTAATTTTGGGGATAATTGATAGAGGTTTTAAGAAAGATTAAAACCTTATTTAACCTGCCCAAAAAAAATGTAGTAAGTGGAGTAAATCTTTCTTAACTTGCCAAATGCAAACAGCGACAAAATAAATATGATAATATGTCTAGTCTAGATTTGGTAGGGGTGTAAACCGCTCACGATAAAGGAATTACTACTGTCTCTTTTAGCGAGCTCGGAGTTAATTCCTCTATTTTTGTAGAAACCATTGACATAGTTTTGAGAAGCCCTCATTCACCCAACAACAAATAGAGTTCAAAGTTTCTTTCTACCATATTAACTAACTGATTTAGTTTTCATTCTTCATTCTGAAGGTAGTAAATAGTGTAATCCTTTTTCTGAATCATCCTCCTTGAACCTTTGCCAAGCTAGATCGCAGGATTTCTATGCTAAACCCAGTAAGTTTGTCCAGGGTTGAAGTTTCTTCAGGTGGTGCATAGATCCCTAAATCTCCAAAACACATAAAATTAACCCCCATCCTTTTTCTTGTTTATCTTGATCCTTACTTGCTTAATTCCTTGCACTTGCTCCCTTGAGTAGAAAAATAATTTCTCGTGTAATCACAGCTCGAAAATGTCTAATTTACGAAATAAGGAGCAATAATTATGGAGGTTATTTATAGTAATAAATATTAGCTAAGCTGTAATGCGAATGGAGTACTTCCCAAAATTGGCTGCCTATGTATCATAAAGAAGTTTACTTAACAGTCATGCATAATTTTAGTTATACGTACACATATACACGAGCACCATGAATGGTTCAATAGAATATAAGTTGAAGATGCAATCAGAATTTCCGGAGAAGAGATGCATCACACATGTCATGTCCTTTGTAGCTCCTTTGTTGTGCAAGCAATCAAAATTAGAGAAGGTAAACTGAAGTCAGTTTTTACCTTTCATTCCCTTTCAATTGGAAATGTAAAAGTGGGAACATGAAAGAAAAGTTTATGTATGATGAGACAGTTGTATGAGTCTGATTTTGGCAATGAAGAGAATACATTTGGCGCATACTTCTGACTTAATGGAGAATAGAGATATTTGGAAGCTTGTAGACATCATATTTGAAGTCCATAGAATTAAGAGCAGTAGACACCACCATCAGATGAGTTCAAACTATTAAGCTGGTTGCTACGTCAATCAGAGTTTGTTTTAGTTAGAAAGCAAACTGCTAACATTTGAAGAAAGGTTTTCAGATTTGGGATAGAGAGAGGAAGCTGCATATGCAAATTGAATTAAGAAAAGAAGAAAGGAGATATATTCTTAAATGCAGGTTTTTAGCCAGCGGAGATAGACCTTTCCTCACCATCGGGTCATTCAATTTCAACCACAAGGCAATTGCGACTACTTAAAATAGGTTTCTTGCTTCCTAGTTTCTCTTGTTTTCTTTGTTTTCCTTTTCAGTTTTTCTTGTACACTTATTCTTGAAATGCATTAGAAGGATCAGAAAGACATGACTGCAAGTTGAGATAACATTTTGAAGCCTTTCTTTTTGTTGTCAAAATTTGTCGTTTGGTGATCCTTTGACACGTGCGCATTTAGGTGTAGTCTTCTTCCATCTTCTTTGTCCTCTATATAGAGTAGTCCCCTCCTTTCCTCCACTCCCTTCATCCCTATGTGGCTATGTGCACCTGTGCACTGTGTGCAATCTCTTAGGCCATCATTTTCTCTTTTGTCCTTTTCATTTCTAATCCTCCGAATAACTTTGACTCCATCTTGTTGATTTCTATCTATCTTCTTTTCCATCAGAAAAAATTGTTATCCTTTTCTCTATTTGTCCTGTTTTTTATATTAGTGAGAACTAATTAAAGGGATGCTTGATGCTTGGGAATCAACTATCAGAGCTAGCCTAACATGAATGTTGAGCTCTTGATAGAGATGAATGGTGATGGTATGATTGTTAATGTTGGCCCACTTTTGCAGGGGTAGATCTTTAGCATGCTGGACCTTGTGATAACCGGATCATGGTAGCTACCTCTCTCATTTCCTCATCCCTTTCATCTTAGACTGGTAAAATAAAGAGATATTATGGTTTTTATTTTGGGGGTTTAGGCCATCCTTTTCCCTTTGCGGAAGTTCAAAGAAACATGTATTTAGTGACGTTATTGGTATGTTTGATGTGATTTTACTCGATTTTAGAAATGTTCTAGTATTGGGTTCCTTATGTTATTTTTCTCTGTTAATGTTGGCGGTGTGATAGGTGATATGAGATTTTTCACTGAATTATTATGAATTAGTACGTTGGGAAGATGTTTCATGCAAGCTTGTTACAGTAAGAAAAAGTATACTTATGCTCTGACTAAATGATAGCTTGATCATTAAGGCTTGGTTAAAGCCTATTCTTGCTCTACTCATACTTTTCTTGTCCTTGTTGCACAACACCTTGCAACCTGCAATATTTCTGTATGTAATACATGGATATTGAGACTTTTAAGTGGAGGTCATGTTATGAGTGTAAGAGCACAAAAAGGATATAGATGAAGTTGGAAATATTTTTAAAATAAGGAGCAAGATTGTCGGAGGAGGCTTGTGGGGTTTGTTAATATATGTTCCTAAGCTATGTATGGATAATATAATAAACTACTCTCTGGATCATGCATAAAACCAGTGCTATCAATATACATATCCTAACACCATATCTTGGAAAATGCTATCAAAAGTTGTCATGCAATTAGAATCAATGGGGAAGAGTTTCTCGTCATCTGTATGGTATTTGAACTAGGTTCTTTAAAGCACGGAGGCAATTGGAAGTAAAGAATGGAAAATGGCTGCTTAATCTCTCATTTTCTTTGCAATCGGCTATTCAAATGAGAAAATTAATAAGATTTACTTGCCGGCTCTGTGTTTGGGCATGAATTTGCAATTAGCTATTCAAATGAGGAAACATGGAAATATGATATTGAAGTCTATGAAGGATGTGTAGTGTATCACTTGTGGATGAATGTAAAATTGGTGAGTTGGCTTCTACACCAGTCAATGACGGGTAGGTAGGTGTCTACTCATTGGAAGATAGGTTTTAGATCTGGAGTGAGGAGAAAGAAAAAGGGTTTAGGATTATCCTTTTCTTAGAGCTTGAATTATGATCTAAATGTCAAAGAATCTACTTTATAATTTCTTTGTTGATTATAGAAATAGGATGCTTAAGAAAATAAATTGCCAAGAGATATGAGTGGTGAGGTCTAACTGATTTAATGTGAATTGCAAGCGAGCCTCACAACTAGCCTATCTCTTGGTGGCTCATTTTGCTAAATGAGCTGCCTCCTCATGCCCATTTTTCCTTGGAGTAACGACACCTAATAACCATTCAGTGACTAAACAAGCACATGCCCTCTCATTCCTTTTTTTTTCTTTTGAGAAGTGACACTTTATAATTATCATTCAATGGCTTAACAAACCCTTCGCAATTAGACTATCTAGCCAACTTCTAAAAGTGCCTTATGGAAGTTCGAAGTTCAAGAAGCAAAAAATGTGGCTATGAGAAGTGATTGCAATTGTGTAAGTGATAAAAACCAGAAAGAGAAATGACCTATTATATGCATGCATCCTTAAACATCTAACATGTTAAGTTGTTAGAATATAGTTTCTAAAAGTAATTGTGTTTATTAATGTGGTTAAATCTTTAAAGGAGTTCCAATGGACAAATACCGCATGAAATATGGATGACGCAAGTTGTTGCCTTGTTTTTCTGTAGATTCTGTAGATACTGTAGCATATACGCCTTTTTTGAGAGGCAAGTTTGTAACCACAGGAAATGGGCCTTTCCTTATGCACCATCATCGAGTCACTTATCACAACAACCAAAGTATTGCCCTTTTTTTGGTTACTCTTTTTTTTGTTTCTATTTTATTATTTTTGCCTTCTCTCTTGCTCCGAAATTATTTTTAGGAGGGGATCTTAATGAACATTGTTGGTAAGGATAATAACGGATATGAGAGGATACATGGAGGTTTCGGGTATGAAGTTGAAAACGACATGAGTAAATTAATTTTAGAGTTTGTAATATCGTATGATTTGATAATAACAAATATACTTTTTAGAAAAAAAGATGAACACTTACTAACCTTTAAAAGTGGTTTTAATAATAGTCAAATAGACTTTTTTCTTATTAGAATGGTGGATAGGTTAATATGTAAAGATTGTAAAGTTATACCAGGAGTGAGTTTAAGTACACTACACGACATAGATTAGTGATCGTAGACATATCTATTAAGAATTGAAGTAGAAAACTAACGTGAACAAGAGACTATGGACTCAATAGTGGAATTTAAAAGGAGAGAATTTAATACATTTTAAAGATAATATAATGAAACAAGATATATGAAAAATGGATAATGAGACTAATAATATGTGGAATAGCACGTCTTCAAAAGTGGCTAAAGATATACTGGGAGAATTTAAAAGCTGTAGATTGGACGATAAGGAAAGTTGGTGGTGAAATGAGAGTGTGCAAAATATTATTAGAGAGAAGAAAACTTTATATAAAGAGTGACAAAACTATAAGAGTAGGAAAAACTTAGAAAAATATAAACTAGCAATGAAGGAAGCAAAAATAACGGTTAGTAAGAATAAATACAAGGCTTATGAAATTTTTTATAAGAAGTTAGAATCTAAGGAGGGAGAGAAAAATATATATAAGCTTTTGCTAAGATTAGAGAAATGAAGAGTATAGATTTGGGTAATATTAGGTGTATTAAAAGTGAGGATCAAAGAGTTCTAGTGACGGATGTGGAAATAAAAGAGAGGTGGAGTTACTTTTATCAATTATTTAATGATAACTAAACAAGTGAACAAATAGAGGTTTTGACCATATAGTGAATGATAGGAACTGTAGATATTATCAAAAAATTAGGATTAGCGAGGTTAAAGATGCTCTAAAGAAAATGAAAAGTGGAAGAGCCATAAGACCAGACGATATCCCTATTAAGGTTTTGAAATGTCTTGAAGATATAGGCTTAGGATGGTTAATTAAACTATTTAATAAGATTATCGAGACGAAATGAATCCCGAAGGAGTGGAAGATTAATACTTTGATACTGATATATAAGAATAAAGGAGATGTACAAATTTATTCAAATTATCGAGATATAAAACTTATGAATCATACTATGAAACTTTGAGAGAGAGTAATTGAGCAAAGACTAAGAAAAGAGTCAAATATGTCTGAAAATCAATTTGGTTTTATACCTGGAGGTTAACTATGGAACCTTTACATATTTTGAGACGGTTGATGGAGAGATATAGAGAGAAGAAAAAGGATATATATATGATTTTTATCGATCTAGAAAAAGCTTATGATAGAGTGCCTATAGAGGTAACGTGGTGGATGTTAGAATAGAAACATGTATTTAGTATATATATTAATGTGATTAAAGATATGTATGATAGAGTAACAACTAGAGTAACAACTAATAAAAGAGAGACTAAACCATTTTCTATTACTATAGATTTACACCAAGGGCCAGTTTTCAGTCCTTATCTTTTTGCATTAGTTATGGATCAACTTACTAAGCACATTCAGGATGAAATCTCATGGTGTATGTTATTTACCGATGATATAGTATTACTGGATTAACCTAAAAAGGGCATTATTTCTGAAGTAGAAAGATGGAGACAAGTTCTTAAATCTAAAAGTTTTAAAATTAGTAGAATAAAAAAAGAAAATATAGTGTATTTTTAGTAAAACTAGGAAAGGAAGAGAGCCTATGATATATATTGATGGTCAAGAATTACCTAAAACTAAATATTTTTGCTATTTAGGATCAATCATTAGGCATATTGTTGTGATAGAGGATGATGTTGTGCATCGAATCAAATCGAGATGGTTGAAATGGAGAAGTGTTTCGGGAGTCTTATGTGATAGTTATATACCAATGAAACTAAAGGAAAAATTCTATAGGACAATTATAAGACCAACTATGATTTATGGGACAGTGTTGGACTATTAAAAAAATAACATGTTTAAAAAATGAGTGTAGCAGAAATAAGAATGTTACGATCGCCTTGTGGGTATACATTAAAAGATAGGATAAGAAATGAGTGCATCCGTATTAAATTAGATGTTGTGTCTATTTAGGATAAAATGAGAGAGCATATATTAAAATAAGTTGGTCATGTACAATGGAGACCCTTAGTGCACCGATTAGGAAAAACTATAATATTAGAGTTAATGAGGCTAGGAGATCTTGAGGTAGAGCTCGAATGACTTGGTTAGAAACAATTAAGAAGAATATGATTAAGACTAACTTAACGGAGGAGATGACCCATAACAAAATGAAATAGAAAAATAGGATTCATGTACCCGACCCAAACATTTAGGATAAATGCTTGGTTGTTGTTGTTGCTTTCTCTCTTGCTCCATAATGATGAAATCTGAATGCATCGAGGATCAAATAAGCGTAGATGTAATTACTGTATATGGTTGAAGGCCTTTTCTTTTGTCCTTAAAGAATCGTACTTGGTTCTTTTGGTTTATGTGTGTATGTATGTGGCTCATCCTTTATAATTGCCTGTACAAACTAATTCAAAGTTTTCTACCCACTTGTTCTTACTTATAAGCCTTAATTATTCTTTCTCATTTTATTTGATTATCTTTGTTGGACTATCTTTTCCTTAGAGTGCAAAATCGGTATAGCAATAGAGAATAGCATTAGAGAATGCAAATTTATGATGACAGAACAACCGACATACTGTTAGTGATGTCTAATACATTTAAAAGCAGTTATGCTACTTGATTGTTCATTGCTAGGAAAAGGAAGGTTACATGAAAAACTGAAGGGAGTATCGGAGTCCTGGCTGGAGTGAAAAGAGATGGGTATATTCAACATGTTGCACTTCATTATCTCTCTCTATGTGTGTGTTTGTGTGTATAAGGAATATGAGCATGCTTGGTACCAAGCACAGACTTGGTGCTTCGTAGTGAGTTAACTCATTCCTATCCACTAATCGCATATTCAAATGGGTAGAACAATGAAGGGGCCATTATTTTCTAGTGGGGGTCATTTGAATGAATGGATAAGAATGGGCCACCTCATTACCAAGCATCAAATTTGTGCTTGGTACCAAAACATATTCCCCCCCTCACACACACACATATATATATCTATATATCCCTTTCCCTCTCCCCCTACCCCCAAACACATAGTAGTGTATAGACACATATATCATTTATGATGCATACATCATACTAGCTCACGTACATGCATCACACACTTATAAGGCAATAGGAAGATATAATAATTTGAAATGTGGGGAACAAGATGAATCTTTTTTATAGTTGATGGTCCCTTCAAATGGGCAGTGTATATTTTCACTTAAAAATTGCTTGTTTAGGTGCCCCCACGCATTCTGCCGATTATTTTTCTTGTATGGTATGAGGTCGAAAAAGTTCCAAATATCTTCCTTTCCCTTTTGGTTTCTTATGATTTTTTATGTTTTTCATATAATTATCCTTTGTAAGCTTTTTTTTGGTTCAAGCCATCTGATATTCACATAAATTGGATCAGTTTCTAAGTAAAATCAAGTGCTATAGATCTTCTTACTTCTATTGTGCATTTAAATCATACATTAAGATGCATAAACTTGCAAATGGTTATTGGGTATTTGTTTTGGAAGTTGAGATTGAGAATGAAGCTAGAATTGAGTAACTTGATAATATTTCACTTCCATTTCTCACTTCTATAGTATGTTGAGGACAACAAGTTCTGTTGTTTTACTTTGATTTTATGTTTGTTTGCAGAACTCCTGAGTGGATCAAAAAAATGCTTTCAAAAGTAACTAAGAAGGAGCAGCGTGGCCCTGTTTTTCGCTTTTTCATGGATTTAAGTGATGCTGGTGTGTTCTATGCCTTCATGCTAATTTCTTTTTATTTTTCAATATGGTATAATAGTGTGTAGCCAGTTGTAGAGATAACTATGTTGGATCCTGATGACTATTTCTACAGTTGTAAATCAGTTTAGAATACTTACAACTCTAATTGTATCATGTGAATTCCTTCAATCTGTTATATCTTCTTTCCTTGAATTATGGTCAGATAACTGTGGAAAGTGCCTGAAGCATTTACCAAATGGAAAACACAACCAAAATTGGGAAAAAAATCAACATAAATTGTTGAATTACAATCTAGTACCTTGAAGCATATGATGTAATTACATGGTCAATCCTGGAGTCTACATATTTACACGGGTAACCTTGAGATTACTGATTTTAACTAAATGGATGACCCTAAAATCTGACGATAGATTAACATTATTATTATTATTTTTGGTTTTGTGTAGTTCTTTTCGAATGTTGTTTAGAAATAGAGTTACGATTAGGACTAGGGCTATGGTTACGTTATAGCAAAAAATACTGACTATTAGAGTTACGGTTAGGGTTATAAAACGAAACTTTAGTGATTAATCATTGTTATAAACCTCATCTTAACTAAGACTCTAGTATTTATCTTAACAAAAAACCTAACTGTAACTCCACACTGACTGACATCCAACAAGAAATGCAAGTCAACAAAAGCAAAAAAAATTAACCTGTCGACAGATTCTATAGTAACCCATATAATTAGAATTAGTAATCTTAAGGTTATCCATGTAGATACGCAAACTTTAGAGTCACCTATGTGATTACACACCAAGTCAACGAAAAACAAACAACATTAACTCGTTGACATATTCTATGGTCATCCGTGTAATTAGAATTAGTAATCTTAAGGTTACTCTTGTAGATAAACACACTTCAGGTAATAGGAAAATATTAAGGACTTTTGCGCAAATGTAGATATTCTTATTTCTTCTTCGATCCTTTTTTACTTGTTAGCAATTGTCTGGAGAAATAAAATTCCGTTAAAAAAGTTTGCTATATTGAATAACTCATAAATTTTTTACAATGACAAATTATAAAAGTTTTGCTTGAGCACAAAAACATTTATCGGATGTCTCCGAAGAGTCAACAGAAAAACATTTATATATTGCATATATAATGAATAAAAAAGTAAAATTTTCTTTTTCATGATAATGAATACAAAAGAGAACCAAAGGCTCCAAGTTTTGTAATTAATCTTACTCGATCAGCCCTGATTTCTTGTCGGATTAAGCACTCGAATATTCCTCCCATTCCAATCCTTAGAGCGTGTAATGTACTTCTATTACATGAAAGAACAATCATTACTTTAATGTCATTATAAATATTTAACTCTCAAGCATTATCGCTAAGATTTTCAAGAAAAATATTATGACTAATATGATAGAATTCCTAGCTGGAGTAACAATAAAGCACATTTTTGGTTTGATACATTCACTTGATGAAGGATTAGGTTAAGTTTCTTATACTTTTTAACTAGGGCATATAAATAACTTATCATTTGGACCTCCATATAGTTAGCAACTATCATATTATAACAGCTATTTTGAAACCAATTTATATAACCAAATAAAGAGTTGTTATCTAGAAATAAAACCAAAGAAATAAGAAAAAATGTATTTTGAAAATTTACAAAACTTACTAGTTCCCTTGAGGAACTAGTTGGTGCTTTCCCCTTCCCCTTTCTATCCATTGGCTCAAGTAAATTACTAATAGGTTTCTGTCAATAATATGAGTAGCAAAAGAACAATATTCAAGAAGTAACTATATCCATATCCTAACGAACACGAGCACAGGTACATATATTTCTTAGGATATAGTTATTTTTTTCCACCACTAGGTGTAACATAAATGAGAGAAATGAATAAAATTACCATTATAAAATAAATTAGTTTAATAAGAAATTTAAGGAGTAATAAAATAAATAAGGAGAAAAATATGACATTGAAATAGAGAAAAATAAACCCTTTCACTAATTCATTTTCCAGCAACTCCATAGTCAATGAGACTTTTTTCCGTATGGTTATATAGTACATGCCATCATTATGATATGTTTTCTTTTTCTTACTTTGTTAATTTTATTGTTCACTTGAAAAAGTTTTGGGTGGCTGATATATCATATTATATAATATATATTATTAATAATATTTTATATATATTATGATTAAGGTCGCAGTATTTTTTTAGCAATGGAAGAACGGAGAGGGATCCAATAGTTATCAAGGGGAATAGTAGTTTTGTAAATTATCAAAATACATTTTTCTTATTTCTTTTGTTTTATAAGCTAGAATTGCTATACAGTTAGTTCCAAAATAGCTCCATTATAATATGATAGTTGCTAACTATATCGAGGTCCAAATGATAAGTTATTTCTATGCCCTAGTTAAAGTATAGGAAACTTAACTTGTTATCTTTTCACCACTGGTTTTTTTATCCTTCGTCAAGTGAACATATCAAATAAAAAATGTGCTTTCTTGTTACCCTAGCTTCGAATTTTATCACTGGAGATAATGCTTGAGAGTTAAACTTTTTATATTGACATTAAAGTAACGACTATTCATTCATGTAATAGAAGTCGATTCCACGCTCTGAGGGTTGGAATTGGAGGAATATTTGAGTGTTTAATCCAACAAGAAATTAGGGCAGATCGAGTAAGATTAATTACAGAACTTGGAGCTTTTTGTTCTCTTTTTTATTCATTATCATGAAAAAGAAAATTTCTCTTTTTTATTCATTATATGTGCAATATATAAATGTTTTTCTTCCGTCTCTTCGGAGACATCATATAAATGTTTTTGTGCTTAAGCAAAACTTTTATAATTTACCATTGTAAAAAATTTATGCATTATTCAATATAGCAAACTATTTTGATGGAATTTTATTTCTCCAGACAATTGCTAACAAGATAAAAAAGGATCGAAGAAGAAATAAGAATACCTACACAGACTTCAGGGTCACCGTTGTAGTTACACTATACCTCGGGGTACATGAATGTAATTAATCCAATTATATTCATCTTGGTACACTTGCCAAATGTTTATGTTTCTCAAAGTCATCAGAGATACTTGCATCCATTGTAAAATTAATTGGCTAACATGTCTGACATGTTGGCCCAAATGTGTTTTATAGGTTGTCTTCAATCTGCATTGAGAATGATTTTAGTAGTCAATTATTGTTTCTGGGGAGTTACTGGATTTTCCTGAGATATCAGATGACATTTTGGGATTTTCTCAATATATTGATCAATATTCAGTGCTAACAAGTTGACTGGAATGGTGTCACATTAAGTTAGCATCTGTTTTAAACGTCATGTTTGGGTTTCAGGTTCAATTGAGCCCTAAACCTGAACCCACTTTATATAAATCTCGAAACAGGAGGATTGGAGCTTAATTAAGTCCCAATACTTTACCTCACCTTTCTCGAGTCGATTCTCTTCATCTTCGACTATCCATCTACCCTTCAGGCTTGGGACCCGGATCATCTCCTAATGAAAAGCTCCTAATATCTCCTAATAAGGAGATCCTACCCTTTCATTTTTATCATGGCCTTTCATTTTCCCACCCATCCTTGTGGGCCCCCCTCCCAACTCTTCACAATTCTTTATTAGGAAATATTAGGATGAGGAGAGGATCCCAATTCTCAGGCTTGACTACATGTTGCCACTAGTAAACCTCTCTTTCTCTCTTTCTCTCTTTCTCTCCCTTCTCTCAACTCCTCTTAACTTTATTTCCTTTTTCTCTGCCGCCTAAATATACATGATTTGACGTTTGTATGTGTTTATATGTCATCCATGCAAGGTTTTAAATATCGGTTATCGGGGATTTATCGGATGGTCAAAATCCTTATCGGATAGCGGAAATCGGGGATATATCGGGGATAAGTAGTATTTATCGGAGTGATATACTGGATGATGTGTATATACAATATAACAATTAAAAAAATATAATCTAATCATGCTTAATGAAATATAAACATACCAAAATGTAAATCATCATGTTTAGAATCACTAACAAATTGTAGAAAGCGAAACTTGCATCATAGCCTTGAAAAAATATAATGTTAGTCAAATAGGCCGATAATCCCGATAATCCCGATAAAAAATTCTTACTTATCGGCCGATAAGTGCCGATAACGCTGATAAATCGCCGATAAACCTACAAAAACGATAACCGATTAAAAATCCAATTTATCCTAGCGGAGAGCTCCCAAATCCGATAACTCGGCCGATAATATCGATTATCGGCCGATATTTAAAACAGTGCATCCATGATATGTATATATAGTATCCAATAGTACAGTTTGATATTTATATCATCAATATATTTCGGATATCTGCCATCCAGTATGGATTTTCCTGTCTCACATGACCTCAGTATCTGACATTTAGAGCACTATTTGCAGTTTTGCACCATAAAATATTTTATCTTCCTCTCTTCTCTCAGTTCTACTTTCTCATCACATTTATTATATTGTCAATTGTCTTAACTGCCATCACATTAATTTTTTGTTATTCTTTCTTTCTGCATGTTCTTAATGCCAATTATTGCAATATATCTAATGACATAAGCCGTTTTCTGTAAAGTCATTAAACCTTGCATATTGATAGTGGAATCTTTAATTAATCAATTATGTTAATAAACACAAAACCTTCTGCTGAGTGGCGGGAAAACAAAGCTTCTGAAAGCGAGACCAAGTTTCTCTATCTACGTCAAGGAAAAAACCCATTGGTAGATTGCTCATCTGGATATACAGACATTTCTGATTATTTCTGGTATATGTTTTTCTGTTTTGACTTTTGTATTATCATGTTATGCATTCAACTACAATTCTCTTGGAGGTGCTAGATAATTTTTCTTTAAAACAGGCACATCAAATGCAATTCGGTTACCGCCAATTCTTGGTGTAATCTTTCAAGCTCTTGACAAATAAAATCATCAGTTAAAGTTAACTGGCTTAACAAATTCTGTTATTCCTTAAAAAAAAGAGCAAGGATTGTCTGCTGGATTCTAATTTGCTGTCTTGGTGTTTTAATCAGTTAATGGGACTGCTTCATTCTACATCAAATTTGGAAACACTCTCAATTTGATTCAAAAGAACTATATCCTTATTTCATATCTAGAAAACTGATGCAGAAATTCTGAGCTAGTTACTCATTTCTAACAGTTTACCAGAGCATACTTTATGCAGTGCAAAACTTGCTTCTTGGTTATAGTATTTAAGTGATTGCATTCTACAGCATTGTGTTGGTGGTACCAACATTGCCTTTATCAAAATGTAAAAGAAAAAACAAAGGAATTTATCATTTGGCTGAATTTGTAATTTTGGCTATCTTGTCTGTGGCATTAAGCAGAGATATAATGTAACTTACTTTCCTCTGGTAGTTGCATATGTCAAGAGGCTGAATGTTCCAACTGGTATGGTGGGTGCTTGCCGCCTTGATGTAGCATATCGACATTTCAAGGTATTACTCTTTCAAACTGAGTGTTCTTCCTCTTATTTTTGTTTCTTATAAGATTCACTCTTTTATAGTTTTGTCTTGTCCTGTGTAAATAGATATTCAAGGATATCGGAACACTTGCTATTATTATCTAAGCCCTATGGCATTAAAATGAGGGTCTGGTTGGCCATTAAGTATATTCAAAAGGCTCTTCAAAAAGATTGTCCAAACTTCAGGTGATATTATCCTTTTGAGTTTGTGCTAATGATTCATAGTTAAGGAACTATTCGCAAATACTTGCTGATAGAATTTGAAGGTATATTAGCAAGTAAGAAATCAAAGTCACTTTCAAACAGTTAAACTTGTGAACCAAGAAGAAACAACCATCTAAAGTCTGTGTTTTTCTAAGCTATCAAACAGTAAAAGAGGAAAATTTACCAAGTTACATGATTCAGTATGTGCCTTTAATCGTTACTGAGCACATATTGCATATGTAGTCACACTCATTTAAGGTAAACTAAAAATATAAGTGTTATGTTCGGAAATACACTCAATCTAAAGAGGTTTGGTCAGATAATATTTGCAGCAAGCAAATAGAATACAGTTACAAAAACTTTCAATTTGGGACTACATCTAATACTATAGCACTCCTCCTCAAACTGGAATATATATCAATGATGTACAACTTGTTACATAGAAGCCAAAAGCATTTTCTGCACAACAATTTAGTGATAATATCACCAATTTGACCATCGAAAGTAACATCTCAATCTAGAATCTTGTTAGCCAGCACCATATCACCAGTGAAACAACACTCTTATCTCAATGATTTTGATGTGCTCATAAACACTGCATAGTTTGAAATGCAAGTTGCAGCTTGATTATCACAATGCATCACCATAGGCCAAGTTAGAAGCACACCACCATCCTTCAAACCATCCTTTAAAGAAGAAAGTGAACTCCTATCATCTCATAAGCAATATGAATCATGGCAAAATATTCAGTCTGAGACTCTTCAACGCTAGATCAGTTAACAAGAAATTTTATTTAATAAACTCACCAGATCTCCTGTGGTGGAAGTACAATAGTGACTAATGGAATGACTGTGAAGAGGGTCACATGCCCAATCTGCACCGAGTAGTGAACAAATCAAGATGAGCTAGGAAATGATAAGGGTAACACTTACTGGACACTACACTCTATTGAAGCTGATGTGCAGTCTTACCAATATTGACTCGAAAGACAAGCAATAAATGCAATGTCTTAACTTTCTGAATGACTTATTTAAGACGAAATTGAAATGTGAAATTATTGAGTAGTCTATTTCCCTTCAAATGATGAATCCCCTTAAAGTTAAAGGAATAGTTTTGGACACGTAAGGGATTTACTTGTCTATATATCTGTGAAAGAAATGAGCTTCCCAATTAATCTACACCGTCTTCAGGGATTTGTCAGGAATTGTTGTCAAAGCAAATTGTAGGATCCATTCAAGTATCAATAGACCTAGTAATGCCTTCATTGGGACACAGAGAGCTCTTTATTTCCAATTTTCTGACACATGTATTTAACTCAAGTAGCCCAGCATCATTGTGGTGATCTTATAATTCCTTGTGTGAACGATTATTAATTTCTTCTTTCAGCTTCACATCGAGTCACTCCTGTGTAAAATATGTATATCCTACTTCTACTGGAAACATGTTCTGCTTCTTGATTTTTTCAAACCAATGGGAGTATATGTCCTGTGTATAGTGTGAATGCTTTATTAACAATCTGAAGACTGCATTGACAAGCATATCTCTTAGGCTGCATATTGAGAGAGGTAACTTCTCTTTTGCAGGAGGAGCCTCATATGTTTCAGTTTGTTCCAAACGAGAAACAGGTACTTATCGATTATCTAGTTGTTTCCATGAGTTAGCATTTGTTTGAAATAGTTCTCTGTTCACATAGGTTAAGGAAGCTAATAGACTTCTAAAGGAAATCCCAACAAAGGGCCGAAGAAGAAAGGTTGAAGGAGTTCCTGTTTTTACGGCGCAAAATCTAAATATTGCTATAGCAACAAATGATGGGATTAAGTGGTATGTGCTTCATCTAGTTATAGATTGTTTGTGTTATCCCTTTTATAAAACTCTACCTTTGGGTGGTTTATATCTTTATTCTGCATTTTGTTTTCATCATATGTTTTTAGTTGTTTTTTAAATATCTTGCAGTATGCTGTTGTTAAAGTTTATATATATCAAGCAACTTTGGAGATATCTCCTTGTATTTCTTCAATTTTGTTTGATACTTCTCAGAAATTTTGAAACATTCTTCAACAAGTTGATGTGCTTTTATTATGGTTATATTATATGGTAACTACTATTAGTATGCTCCCTCACTTTTGCCTTTTCTGGGTAACACCATGACATGCAGATATAAAAGATGTATGCAAAGAAAACTAAAGTAACTCAGACGCTAAACTGTGATTGTTATGTATAACTTTCTCAATATCGAATATTAAATACTTTTAGGTAAATCTTTAATTTTTTCGTGCATAGAAAATTTAAGTAAACAGTGACTCTTGCAGTTAATATCTCATATTCATTGTTGACCGAAGCCAAAACCTTGATAGTTACCCATGGCAAGGAAGGAGTATCACATCTACATCTATTGCCATGGTGAGGTTTGCCAGACTCCACATGACTTAATCCCGATAGAACTTTGCTGTTGATTCTAACGTGACATGCTTAATTTTCATTATACTGATATATAACATTAGATAATAGAGACATAATATATGAACCAAAATTTAAACATCTTTATTGATTCAGTACTAAGCTTTGTCTCAATACAAAACCATAAGAACTACTTGCTCATGAGTATGATCTCATTCTCATGTTATACCATATGACAAAATGTGTTCTGTTGAAATACATCATTTTTCGAGTAACTTGGATAGTCTCTTAGTTATACCTAGGCATCGATGCTATGACTTCCACCAAAGATGCCCACCAAGTTGAATCATAATGATATCTCAATTTCTCATAAAATGTAGAATGTGCAGATTGATTTTATGAAAATAGATATCCTATATGCGCAAATCAGGTAAGTACAAGTGCCTAGACATAAATTCAACTCTTACCAATAAGTGGAGTATTCATATCATAGCACTGCAAATGGTGCATCCTCAACTAACTGTAGTATCCTTTATCAAATAGGTAGCATATGTCACATCAAGAATTACATCCCAACAAGTCTATTCATAACGAAATTAAAATAGACGTAGAAATATGCTCCATCCAAAGAGCTTGTAAAATCATCTATGTTGTTTTTATGAATTTCTAGGACGTTTTCAGAAACTACTAGAATAGGTTTAAGTGCTAAATTGGGGGCACATGCAAGAAAATTTATGGACTGAACTGAGAAAACTATGTCCTAAATAAAGTTGATTTCTGAACTGGAAATTCAACTACTAAAAAAATGCTTGTGGCGTCCTCTAAGACCATGTGCATAATCACATATACATGCATTCCTAGGTCATGGGCGGTTATATGTTGATGGAATGGTAGATGGGGTCGGTTTTGTTAAATTTGGGTAATTAAGAGAGAATGTGAAATAGGGCCTTAGTTAGGAGTGGTTCCCTGGAGGAAAAAAAACCATTTCAATGCTAGTGTAGACTCCTTAATTACCTCCATTTAAGTTTGCTTAGGCATACACATACTCAATGTTACATTAAACGCTGGGCGCTTCTAAGCGTCGGACTTGGCACCCAACGCTTAGTCGTCTAGGCGGGCGCCTAAGCGGTTTCTGAGCGTTTTCTTTCTTTCTTTATTTAAGTGGTGATCGATGAGGTTTTGCTGAAGGTCGGAGGAGGTAGTGAAGGTGTTCATATTTGGAGGTTAATAGAGTTTGGAGGACGTGTAGGCTACGACACATAAAATCACAATCAAGGCCTCCTACAGGGTGCAATCCATGTAAGCAGACAATGCTCACCTAAACGCTCGTAATATCTATGTGGGCAGCCTAAATACCGTCTAGGCGCTAGGCGCTAGTTAGACGGCCTAGGTACCGCCTAGGCCTAGGCGTACGCCTAAGCGGACTAGACGGAGGTTTTTTAAAACAGTGCACATACTTTTCATTGCTCTATTAGGCTATTAGCTACAATCCTGGCCCTAGTATTTGTGAGAATCTTTATTGATCTCAGGTGTCCATCTCCATCCACCCCTTTTGGAAAAAAATTAATATTGAATATATACGAGTGCATGAGTAAAGAAAATTAAATACTTGATGCTTGTACTGTTAGAATGTAAAACTGTAATTCCAAAGCCTTATCATAACTTTAGAGTTTCGATATATTTGTTAGGGAGACTTTCACATAGTATCAAAACTGACCTGGTTCGAATCTTGCTGGTCACAAATTTAATGCATATTTAAAAAAAATTGTTATCGCTATGTGAGTCTAGGGTCTAACCCATAAAAAAATAGGACGCTAACTTGCATGGGCATGTTAGAATATAAAACTATAATCCTCAAGCCTTATCATAACTTCGGCGTTTTGATATATTGGTTAAGAGGGACTTTCACATCTATATTTGATAATGATAAAATTAGGTGTCATTGTCTAATTTCTTTATTAATTAAACAATGCAGCTAGGTCATATTCTGGATTTTTCAGGACAGTGACAATTGAACATCATTTATTTTCTTTTTCTTTCAGGTACACACCTTATTTTTTTGATAAAAACTTGTTAGACAATATCCTTGAAGCTTCAGTAGATCAGCATTTCCATTCATTAATTCAAACTCGGCACTCACGACGGAGGCGAGATGTGATTGATGACAGCCTAACTGCAGAAGTGGTTGAAGAAAATTTGGATAGCTTGTTTGAGCCTGATGAGGTATCCTACACTGATAGATCAACTAACTAGTTCATTTATGTTGTTTATCATCTTTGGCAAATCAACACATATTATGTTTTTTCACTAGTGTATTCAACATTCAATAGTTAACTAGGTTAAATTTCACAAACCCCTGAACTTCAGGGTGTTTTGTACAAACCCCCCAAAATTTTTATAAATTAGAGAAAACCCTTCGACCTTGTTTCACTAAAATCCCATGACTGGTAGCAGTTAGTTTAAGTCATTAGCTTCAAATGTGGCATATTTGGAGCAATTTTGCCCCTATGTGCTTTTTCTTTACTGAGTGAGCTTTTTGTGTCAGGGTTCATAGATATTTATAAGGATAGTTTACACCTTTTACCCATAACAGTAATGCCATTTAATAGAATTTTTAGATAGTTTAAGGTGGTTTTGTATAATTTTGAATGTTCAGAAGGTTCTCTCTACTTTATAAAATATACGTTTTTTGTGAAAACTCAACGTTCTGGGGGTTTATAAAACTACCCCCTAACCACAACAATAGGATTTTCAAGTATGCTCTATGTCATAAACTTTAATTATTGAGGTATCACAGGTTCAAGAAGTGCTGGATGAACTGGGTCATACTGGAATACCATTGAGTGTCATATCAAAGGCGGCTGAGATTCAGCTCCTTGATGTTGCAGATAAAGTGCTTTTAGGAAACAGATGGTTGAGGAAAGCCACTGGTATTCAACCAAAATTTCCTTATCTGGTTGATTCGTTTGAGAACAGGTACATATATTGAACCCTTTCCCGGTAGCATAATGATATTCTTAAAGGCAGGTTCATAGATGAGAGTTCATGATTATTTTCTACATCTATGGTATCCCTGCTTTCTTTAACTTGTTCGGAAATCATCAGGAGCTTAAATGCCACTCTTTACCAGTCTGTTCAACTTTTCTTGTTGTGTTTTGAATGGACCAATGGTTTGACTTATTACGTGAGGGTAAATCTGCATGCTAGACTTAGCTTAAAGAATTATAAATCTAGCAGACCGTGAATCAGTTTATCAGCATGTTTCTTCCAATTTAATCGTCTCTGATCACTGAAACACTTGCTTGCCAATCCATTTCAAGCCATATCTATTGCTTGTGGCTCCTAGTTTTTAGTAGCATTTTTGTTTGCACTAATCTGACTCATTAAGATTAGTTTTTCCTTAGATGGAATTTTATACAATTATTGATGATAATTTTCTGAAGTGTGAGTATATACTTGCCCTCTATTTGGTTAAAAATTACAACACAAATAAGCAACATTTAAGATATGTTTAGGAACAGTGTTAGTTGTGTATGGCTGTCCATTATATGTTTTGATTACTAGTTCCTGCTCTAATTAGAAACTATATGTAAACCTAAGTCGGCCTCCATGTCTGCCTAATGTTGTACTTCCATTTTGTCTGAAAATAGCACCATATTTTTACGTAAAAGCCAATGACAGCTAATACCCATTGCCAAGGTTAATGTACTTATCCCTAACGGAAAACAATCTTCTTTGTGAAGTCTATTCTCCTACTCCATATTCCTGTTTTTTAGTAACAGTACCCCCTCTTCATTTATTTTCTTTGTTATTGAGGGCCTTCATCTGGAAGCTTAAGTAAGTTCTGGGTTAAGGGGAGAGAAGGAACCTAGAAAAGACGAACTACATGAACTTATAAAATCTTTATTGAGTACTACCTATCTGTGGGCTTAAGGTCAATTAACACCTTCTGTACTACTTTATTTTCAGTTAAAAAAAAAGCCAATTGAACTGAATACTGCTTGCTAATGCTGCTCATTTAGACTCATTATCGGGCCATTTCTAGGAGCCTTTTGGCGGTCGATGTAACTGCTTTTGGTCACTGTCATATGTAATAATTAGTGGTTACATGTTCATCTTGTGTTCTTGTCTATTGCCATATTAACTCTAGTTATTACTTGTATGTGATAATGCTTTCAGGAGTACAGCTGCTTTTTCCAAGGCTGCTGATTTAGCTAGCTCTCGCACAAACTCTGAAGATGCCAGAAATATCGCGCCTGAACTGCCACATAATATTCCAGAGCTTAGCTTAAATGAGAGTGCTCAAGCAGAACATGGCCAGTCAATAAATCATGCTCCTTTCCCATTTCCGTTTGGGGACTGGTTATCAAATCCATGGTCAAAATCACATGAGAAATCAAGCACAAGGTATTTTCTGTCTCCGTTCCATTCTTTCTAGCTCTCTTAAGTTTGACCTTGTATGTTTTCTTGCAGAAGCTCTAGTGAAGATAGAGATATCACCAATGAATTGCCCACTAATCCTCTGCTCCCGAAGATAACAATGGTAGGCATATCAATGAGTGAGTCTGGACAAGTGAGCAAAGCTAACTTAAAGAAAACGATGGAGGATTTAACAAATGAATTAGAACAATCAAGTCAGAGACCGATGAAATCAAATGAAGAGATTGATCCTCTATTTGTAGCAAACGTGGGGGATTACTCCAGTATAACAAGGATGACTACTTCGTGAGAGACTGAAGAAAACCGAAAAATAGCTAGAAAATTTAGACTCCAGGTTAATACTGGGACCTTGAAATCCTGCAGCTCTTCCAATTGCCATAAACTTGGAGTTTTGAAATACTGGAAGTTAAAATTCAGTTTGAGGGTATGAAAATCATGTATAATTACTTAAACGTTGAGTTGACATGCAAGCTTTGATTGTAATTTTTTAGTTTAGCAAGTCAAAAGGGTGTTGCTGTGTGAGTGTTTATAACAAGTGTATTAGATTAAGCAATGTTGTAATTCACTGAGCAATTATTCTTGTTTTTCCAATAATAATTGAAATAATGGAAGTTACATGAACTGTATTTATTGAGCAGTTTCGTTATTCACATATTTCTCTTTGTTTGTGGTCCCTGCGTAAGTCTTTGATTCAAGAAACAACAAGAGAAGAGGGCATCTGTGTCCATGGGTTCAAATAGTGCGGTTATAAAGAACGAACAAGAGGCATGTAAAAGGCTGGAGGAAGGGCATTTCTTTATTCTTCAGTCTAACTTCAAGGTAAGCTTCCTCCGGTAAGCACGAGACTGGCACCAGATAGCCCTGTCCAAAAAGCCCGTCAGCTCGGGCGTGGTTTGGAACCCGGCCCGGCCCGGGGTCGGCTCGGAAACCCGGGTCCCCTTGCTGGCACCCGGCCGCGAAAGCAGTTCTCGGTCCGGGCAACGAAAACGCGGGGTGGGCGGCCCCGGACCCGCAAGCTCGCCCGCCGCCCGCAACGGGTCACCCCTGGTGACTGTTGGCGGCAAAAATGCCGCGACTGGGCCAAGCGCGGGAGGCCGCGGCGAAAACGGTCACTCGCGCGAAAGCAGTGCTACAGGGTGAACTGTTTTCGCCAAACGGACAGATTTGTGACTGTTTGGCCGGGCCGGGCCGATCAAAATGGCTATTTTTTACGTTGTGACTGTTTTACCCCTTAAAACGGTCAAAAAACGGCTATTTGGTGAGTGTTTTTTGATCATTTGTCCAGGAGGTTGTAGGGTCTGATTTTGCTTATGTATACCAAGTGTAGGATCGTGACCCTTAAGAATAGAGTGCACTCTTATAAAAATCTGCGGAAGCTTTACACTTAAACACTAGAGGGTGAGTTTGCAAAGTAGATTATAAATTACAAAGAAAGAATGTCAATCTCAGAAAATAAACATCACAAACACAAGTATGTATATTGGTTCCACCTCCCCGGTGTATATCCAGTCCCCAAGCAAATCCCGCTTGAGAGTTTCCACTATGATTTTAAAACCTTACAAAATTAAAGTCAAACCTGACCAATTTGCAAGACCATGCAAATTGCAACCCAATTGACAAGACCATGCCAATCGTCACATTGATCTCTAGACCAAGAGATCAACCCTCTCAATCCTGAGAGAACCTTCCTTGAATCAATATACAATTTCAATCCTATAAGCCTTGATGTGGATGTGAACGTGTAACAGTGGCTTATCAATCTTTTTAACACTCTGAATATTGCCTAAACAAGCTCTAAGAATGATAGGAATAAAGGCAATATAAGAAACTCTCTTTTATGAAAAAACAGATCAAAAAACTAAAAGTTTAGAGAGTTAATTTGCACAATATGTGAATCTTACAAGTGCAAAACTTGGTGCTTGTTTTCTGATGTTTAAACCTATTTATAGCCTCTGAAATGACATAATTTTAAACCCAATTAACGTCCACAAAACGACTATAAACAGTCACTTATTTAAAACCTAAAATCTGAAAAAACTGTATCTGTAGTCGACTACAAGTCATAGTAGTCGACTACACTGAGTCTAAACAGAATGTGAAGTCAGAAAATTACTTAGTAGTCACTACAAGGCATAGTAGTCGACTACACTGTAAACTCACAGATTCTAGAATTTTCTTTTTAGTATTTTGACAGTAACTTTCTCATCCGATATCGGAATAAGGTAATTTAATATTTTTTGGAAAGCTCTTGAAGAGACCTACAACTTTGATCTTTTGAGTTTTTCCAGATTCTAATTGATAAGGGGTATAAATAAAATGTTTTAAGACTCACTCAATATCTATAAACTCTAATGGCTAACATAGGGGATTTTCATTGTTAATCAACACACTAAGCATGTGTTAGTGTGATCTAACACTATGTGTGTGCATGTGTGTGAGTGATCAAGGCTTGTACAAATTTCTAAGCAAAGAAAATATAAAATTACATTTTGACAATAAAGTATATCTTCTTCTTTGCTTCATTTTGCCTTGAACTCATCTATGTCTTGAGTATCTCTTTGAAAATAATTGTTGATATAGCTCTGATACTGCACACAACATATAATATTTGTTATCATCAAAATAAACTAATCTTGGGGTCAAGATTCCTTACATTCTCCCCATTTTTAATGATGACAAATATATGTTATTAAGATATAAAAAATTTAACCCCCCTACATAAAATCATTAAATAAAATCTTTTACTCCCCCTGCATCAAAGCATTAGTAAAAAAATTAAAATTTTCTATATAACTCCCCCTTTGTTATTAACAAAAAGAAATAAACATAATTCTAGTTAAAATTTTCTCTTCTCGGGTACCTTAATAAAAATATTAAGCACTTTGGTACCCTTTTATATTATATCATTAGGATTAGCCCTTAGGAATCCAAATCCACTTGGAATTTGGTTTCCATTTATTAACATAAGTGTAATTCTTTGAATTACAAACTCCATACATATAAGATGAAATATAATCATTCCTATCATGAATATTCAAATTCTTAGGAATCCATATATACTTATTTTGTTTAGCATGAATATTCTTATTATTATTCTTCAAAACATAATCATTCTTTGTAAAATACTTAGAAACAAATCCAATGCCAAAATGATTGTTTGAAGATTTTTGAAATGAGACCAAATTATTCAAATTCTCTTTACTTTTATTGAATTTACTAACATTCAAACATATATCATCATATTTTAATTTAATAGAAGAAATATCTTTATCTAAAACATTAATGCGAATTTTTAAATCATTGCATTCTGATTTTAGATAAACATTTTCATTAGTCAAAATATGATTTTATTTAAGCAATGATTTATTTTCCTCTTTCAATTCAATTACTTGAGAATAAGAAATAGTAGAAGAATTAAAATTAGAAAGTTCTTCAAGTAATCTTTTATTTTCACCTTTAAAAAAATTATGTGAAGTATTTAATCTCACAAAAGTTTCATATAATTCATTAAAAGGATCTAAAAGCTCTTCATTGTCACTTACTTCATCTTGTGCCATAAAACACATATGAGCACTTTCCTTTTCTTTAATTTCTTCATCTGAAGATGACTCATCACTATCATCCCAAGTGACTGCTATTGCTTTCCTTTTCTTGTTATTTTGAATGTTGTTGAAGTTATTGAAATAACTTGATTTTTGCTTATTCTTCAATATTGGACAATCTTTCTTCATATGACCTAGTTTATTATACTTAAAACAAAGAGGATTATTTGAAAATGAACTCTTAGATTTAAACTTACCTCGTTTTATAAATTTCCGAAATTTTCGTGCAAACATGCCCATTTCTTCATCATCATCATATGGATCTTCTTTATCGGAAATAGTATTGAATGCAAGAACTTTCTTGTTCTTTGTATCTTCATCATTCTTTCTATTTTCAATTTGAAGTTCATATGTCATAAGATTACCAATAAGATTTTCAACCGTAAGAGTTGACAATCATTGGCTTCTTCAATAACGGTTACTTTCTTTTCCCATTGTGGAGTAAGTGATCGAAGTATTTTTCTTATCATCTCCACTTGTGTATATGTTTTTTCAAGACCGATGAGAGAATTTGTGATGTCGGTGAATCTTGTGAATATTTCTCCAATAGTCACATTTTCCTTCATCTTGAACAATTCAAATCTGTGCACAAGAACCGAAATTTTAGATTCTTTAACTTTATTTGTACATTCATGAGTTACCTCAAGTGTATGCCAAATATCGTATGCGGATGTGGCCGTTGATATTCTATTGAACTCATTCTTGTCAAGAGCACAAAATAAGACATTTATTGCTTTAGAATCCATGTTTGCATTATTCCTTTGAGATGTAGTCCATTCCGTGAAAGGAGTGGTTGGCTTCTCATATTTTGTTTCCACAATGCTCTAAAGTTCATAGCCAATTGATTAAAGGTAAATCTTCATTCGGCACTTCCAATAGTTATAGTTCAATCCATCGAACATTGGTGAAAAATTTGGAAAAACTGCATCTGAATCTGCTCTGATACCAAATGAAGGGTCCTGTTTTGCTTATGTATACCAAGTGTAGGATAGTGATCATTAAGAATAGAGTGCGCTCTTATAAAAATCTGCGGAAGCTTTACACTTAAACACTAGAGTGTGAGTTTGTAAAGTAGATTATAAATTGTAAAGAAAAAATGACAATCTCAGAAAATAAACATCATAAACACAAGCATGTATACTGGTTCCACCTCCCCGGTGTACATCCAGTCCCCAAACAAATCCCGCTTGAGAGTTTCCACTATGATTTTAAAACCTTACAAAATCAAAAGCAAACCTGACCAATTTGCAAGACCATGCAAATTGCAAACCTAATTGACAAGACCATGGCAATCGTCACACCGATCTCTAGACCAAGAGATCAACCCCTCTCATAAACCGAGAGAACCTTTCTTTAAAGTAATGTACAATTCCAATCCTATAAGCCTTGATATAGATATGAATGTATAACAGTGGCTTATCAATCTTTTTAACTCTCTGAATATTGTCTAAACAAGCTCTAAGAATGATAGGAACAAAGGCAATATCAGAAACTCTCTTTTATAGAAAAACAGATTGAAAAACTGAAAGTTTAGAGAGTTAATTTGCACAATATGTGAATCTTATAAGTGCAAAACTTGGTTTTTGTTTTATGATGTTTAAACCTATTTATAGCCTCTGAAATGACATAATTTTAAACCCAATTAACGTTCACAAAACGGCTATAAACAGTCACTTATTTAAAACCTGAAATCTAAAAAAACTACATCTGTAGTCGACTACAAGTTATAGTAGTCGATTACACTGAGTCTAAATAGACTCTGTGAAGTCAGAAAATTGCTTAGTAGTCGACTACAAGGCATAGTAGTCGACTACACTGTAAACTCACAGATTCTGAAAATTTCTCTTCAGTATTTTGATTGTAACTTTCTCATCCGATATCGGAATGAGGTAATTTAAGATTTGTTGGAAAGCTCTTGAAGAGACCTATAAATTTTATCTTTTGAGGTTTTCCAGATTCTAATCAATAAGGGGTATAAATAAAATGTTTTAAGGCTCACTTAATATCTATAAACTCTAA